AGTCGGTTGATGAGGTTGTAAATCTTAGAACATATATATGTCTAGCCACCATCTACCTTGGTGAGTGATGCTCTGTTGTATATGACTAGACTAGAATGAAGATAGGGGCTACCAAACCAAAACGTGCCATCAGTTCATGAAGCTCATTGATAGATATAACCTACCTGGTTGGGCTCCTAATAATAACTGCAAATAATCAATAACTGGGTGTATGCAATTTCAAATGTCAATAGATTTAACTGCACTAACTAACTGTATGATAAACTACTGATTCGCACATTTGCTTCTTCCTGATATTTCACAGTTAACTCCATATGCTGACTATTAACTTTTAAATGGTTAAGATCATGAGTCAGTTGAAGCTAGACCACCATGGAAAACCTGGAAGCACTGGACGACCGTTTCGTCCTATTGTGGGACTCCTCAGCAGTGCGCATCCACGATCTCCCTCCCTGCGAGATTCGAACCCAGGACCTACTGGTTTCGCGCCCGAGCACTTAACCACTAGACCACTGAGCCGGCATCCAACGGTGTTAATGTCTAACTTCAACTTATCCACAAAATTGAGCGACACATTCGCCATTGTCTTCAGTGAGTTACTACCTCACAACAGACCTGGTTGAACTCCACTGGTCACTACTTCTCACTAGAACTCCAGGATATACCTCGTGAAGCCAGTCACTAGTGAGCATATTTTTGATTAATATCAGATGGGTTTTTGTGGAGATTGTAGTAATTTCAATGGTTGAGATCATGAGTCAGTTGAAGCTAGACCACTTTTATCTTTACTGGAGTAAAATTTCTCACCCTTACGCCTAACTATGTGAGATTTTTACAAATTAGTCCTTGTGTTAATCACGAAGTCATGATAAATACCACCAGCATCAAAGAACCTCAAGGAAAACAATCAAACCTGATCTCATCTGAATACTTATCATGGTTGATTAAGTCCTGTACAATAAACTGCTCATAAAGTATTCACTGTTTTCTAGGTTATACAGATGTTTCCTTGTGCCATTTCGAAGCGTATCTTGGGATAAGAGTCGGTAGTGCTAAGGTTAGGACAGGGTATTAGATAAAAATGACAAGTCGACTGATAAGCCAGTCGATCTTCAGCTAAGGTGGTAGGTACATGTATTATGTATGTCCGTCCACTGCCTAACTCGATGTGTAATGTTTGCTGATATACCAAGCAGGCTAGAGGCGGTCAAACCAAAAAGTGGAATCAGTCCGCCAAGTCGTTGACTATTGTACTGAACTGTGTAAGTAGATGCAGACTGCTTGTTCGGGGTCTGCGTTATTGTTGTGACCAATGTTTGAAAAATTTGGGTGGCATGGTTCAGAATCAGTCTCACTAATGCAGGTACTCCTTAAATCCTAAGTTATAAAGCATTTCGTTGCTGTTTTATTTTACAACTATTTATACGGCTGGTTAATTCTATTACACTAGCATTTTTCTTGACAATTTTATCTTGCTATGCCGAGTTGGTGACAACCTGAAGCTAAACACGTACGTCTTTAATTCAACGTTGCTATGATTTACTTTCACAAAAAGAGGAATATAATGATTGATTAGATTAGTACTGTTATGTTTATTAATTCTAGCACAAACGTTTGTTTTTCTTCTTCAGAGGAGATTTAGCCTTTCCAACTGCTGATACAATAGGATTAACAGATCGCAAAGACACACCTGAAGCTGTTGAGCGTCTAGCTAAACAAATAATTGAACAAGGTGTCAAGCGTAAAGCTTACAGTCGGAGACGTCCATTCGATGCCGATGCTGATATTGACTATATTAATGAGCGTAACAAACGATATAATGAGTTACTTGACCGACATTATGGGAAATATACAGCTGAAATTAAACAAAACCTTGAAAGAGGCACAGCGATATAATTTATTTGGAAGACACTATGTACAGTTCTTGTATCGTAAAAGAATTCATCGCCTAATTCATGTTTATTTTGTCAAGAAGTGGGTTTGGTTTATCGTAACTTTCATTTCATTTCTACAAATTGTACAAGGATGCTGAATTTTTTTAAACATTATTTTTTGATTGAAGTTGACTATTTTTTCCGAAACACATATTAACAGTTGAAATAATTGCACTTTGATTTCAGTGTGACGTTAGAACTGATGTGTTGATTGTATTTAAATCACAGCAATTAGATGATAACTGCTAGAATGATTAGAATTGTTCATCTTAGCTTCAGTAGAATCGGCCAAAAACTGTATCCTTTGGCATATGGTCCTCAAAGGAATAAAAACACATGAGTAAGAGATGTTCTCAGAAATCAGGTATTCGAGATGCTTTAATCTCATGTCTATTCGTCTCCAAGGTTAATTGATGCTAATAATGTTGTGACATGTGGTATGCCAGAGAGTTGAAACTGATACATAATTTGTCTTGATATGAGCTCAACTGGTCACTCAAGCGGAAAGAGTGAATGAGAAAGAAAGCTTACTGATCAAACCGAATGATATATTGCTTACGCCTGTTACCCGTCGTGAAGGAGCATAGGTCGTTCATCAGCATTCTCCATCTATCTCTGTCCTGGATAATCCTTTCCAGTTGCTATTCATTCTTTTCATGTCTGCTTCCAATTCTCGATGCAGTGTGTTCTTTGGCCTTCCTATTTTTCGTTTCCCTTCAGGATTCCAAGTTAACGTTTGCTTCGTGATTCCCATCATGTATGTCCTATCCACTTCCAGTGTTATTTCCTTCTCAGCTGGAACCTGGTTTGTTCTTCCCTTCAGCAGGCTGTTGCTGATGGTATCCGGTCAACGCACATTCAGTATATTACACAGATAATTGTTTATAAATACTTGTACATTTTTATGATGGTTGTAGGAGTTCTTCAAATTTCAGCTCCATACAATAAAACTGTCTTGACGTTCGTATTAAAGATTCCGACTGTGATATTAGTTGAGTATTTTTGAGTTCTATATGTTCTTCAACTGTAGGAGTACCACCCTTACTTTGTCAATCCTTGCCTTCACATCTACATCGAGTCCTTCATGTTCATCGATGATGCTGCTGACCAGGTACGTGAATGTTTCCACCTCTCCTAGAGTTTCTCCATCAAGTGTGATTGGGTTGGTGTTCTCCGTGTTGTATTTGAACTTGTTGCTTTTCCCTTGTGTATGTTGATGTCTAGTGATACACAGGCTGCTGCTCCATATGCATTTGTTGGTGTATGGGATAGAACGGCTAATTCATCTGCGAAGTCCAATTCATATAGTTGCATCCAACCTGTCCATTGTATTCTGTGATTTACTTGAGATGTCCAGGTCTTCATAATCCAGTCAACCACCAGAACTGAAACGAGGAGAATAGACGGCCTTGTCTGACTTCGGTCCATACTTGGAATGCGTCTGCCAGCTGTCCTCCATGCACGACTTTGAAAATCATATATATCTCCCTTGGAGAGTTAAGCCACCATTCGTGTTCCATCCTATAGGAATGAAAGCCATTTCTTGGTTAATCATGTGCACTTTACACTTAGCCGACTTCTGATTGGCCCGAGATGTCAGTTATTACTTTCGTAATGACACGATAACTATCCACCTTAGTAACTAGCAATTCTTTACGGCCGAAATCAGCTTAAAAACATGAGATTAATAAATAATTCTGAAGGTCACTCGTACTAACCTAGCAATAGTCACAAGTTATTTGGCTGATTTCGTTAAATTTAACTAGAGGAGGATCACCACTGTGATAGGAAATGACTAAATTATCATTACAGGATGTCGTGGAAATTGTTGATATCGACGTTTCACATGACGAAGAATTGATTGTGCTTATATAATCACTGAACTGCTATTTCGTTCTGGTAATGCGCTTTCACAAGAGATCGAATATACAATCCTTAAGCCTCGCGGTGAGTGCTTAACTTTAAAATTACTGAGTTGTCATCCAATGACTGACATCTCTGACGTCAGCCCATTCGCGATACTACGCTGCCGCCATCTACTACCATTGGTAATATTTGTTTCATGTACAACGAAGTTGGACCCTATCAATCACGGCTTGTCACTAGAAACCCAGGTATCACATTTTGACATCAGTTTAGTAAGCGTATGACGATTTTTATTATAAGGTGTTTAATTTAAAGTCTAATAACACTAGATTAAAAATTAACGTCTTAGGTTTTTAGTCATTGAAGTAAGGATTTTTGTGTGGTGTTCATTAAATCATAGGGTCATATGGTCTAAATAACCTTATCCAACAATCATCCATTATACCACTTAATTATTCAGCACAAACTTCCCAATCATTTTTCCATTGGACTTTTGATTAGTTAAGAATGCGTTTGTACTTCTGCTAAATAGTAAATTTTTGCATTTACATGTTAGGTGTTGTCTTCTGATATGTATGTGGTTTAGTGAGATTTAAGGTAATCGGAGGAACAGCTACTTGTTGTTATTTGTGTGTTTTTAGTTAAGATTCGCTCTTATCGTCGTATTAATTCGCTTGGCTATATTGCTAAGTGACTTCTGTTAATAAGAGCGTGTTAACGCGATATTTTTTAAATCTCCTTATCCAACTACAAAGTAGGAGTGTAAACAACCAACAGGTTATGTAGATATCTGTCTTCTTGTGTTACTATGGAAGCATTAATAAAGAGGTTTGTTAATACAAAACTATAGGCTAATAAAACTACATGACTCTACTGCTTAGCCGACAAACGGCACGTTCTGTTTCCGAAGACAGTAAGGTGTGAAAGTAGTTAAAACACATTAAGGTTTATTTGATGATAAATGATTTGTAAGTGGTGACAAAAGGAATTAGGATGTGCTTGATTTTTAAATCTGGTTCCAACACATCGCACTTTTTGGCTGGTAGACTTGGGTTTAGTTGCCGTTCGAAGGTTAGTTCCTTCTACAACTACTTGATATACACTAGCAAGGCATGTGATTAATGAAAAACCAAGCACATGAAATATATATTTTGATAAAATAATGTATATTCTAGAAATATACAATGAAGAAAATCACATTTAAGATTTATGTTTCTTCTTATTTCCTGTTCTTGGTCTAACTATATGAGCCTTGCCTCTTGTTGGTTTAAGGCCATGTTCAGCATGTACACCTTGTAAATAGCTTCTGCTTGGTATTTGGTGATCAGATCGAATACCACAGAGTGCAGATCGACTAGTAACGTCATTTAATGGGAACACCACTGATGATGCATTGCTTAAATTACATTGGAATTCCAAAACATTGGATAGTTCTTCATCTTCAAATCCCAATAAGCCGTTAGTAGCTAATGGAAGCACTTTTGGATTTTTAGGACGGGCTGGTCTTCGGTCAGGAATACGTTGGTCTGCACAATAAATTGGTTCGTCAGCATACTTTCCACCCTTTGGGATTCTTACTGGTTGCTACGAACAAAACAAAATGACATCATTTAGTATATACTACTTACTTTTAAACCGCGCCGTCTGTGCACAAATCTTTTCGCAAAGTGAAATTCTAACTGGCCATCTTCGTGTAAAGTAACTGGGATTCGACGTAGACTAGCATGTCCACACCATGGGCAAAAGTATGTGTCCGTACGTTTAGTAGGCCTGTAGTAATAAAATGGAGAAAAATTGAACTCAATTATATTAAAATCCATCAAGATTCATTTGCGTGAAGCAGGACAGTGAAGCGTGATGTGATAAACTCATTACTGAACAATATGCAATCAATCAAGTATTTTGCTCTTTCTCTTTAAATGTTCTCAGTTCCTAAATTCTATAAGGACTGTCACTAGTGTCTCACAGGTTTAACTTGAGTATATTAGTAAGATTTGAGATGATCTTCGCTGGGACAAGTCAACTACTTAGTAAAATAGTTCAAATCCTACAGATAAAACACTATCCCTGATGTTTAATGAAATCTTGACACGAATTCAAAAAATTCGGTTGGCTTTTACTAAATTGCGTTACCTGTGGGGTAGACGAGAATATTTCTGGTAACCAAAGGGCAAGTTTACTGTGCAGCAGTGTGCTTTGTTCTGCTTTATAGACGTAAGGCATGTTCGTTAAGAATATAGGATATTCGTAATGTACTAGTATTCGACTATGGATGTTTTCAGACCATTGGTCTCGTATTTTGAGATCATTGAGTCAGACATAGAGTACCAGTTAGTCAGCAACAACGTAGAACGTCGTACGTACGTACATGAGTTTAAGTTGCCATATCACATTATCACAGATACAATTGTCGTTTCAAATCCCATAATGGTAGAGGTAGTAAAAGTAACCAGTAAACGGGAGGATTAGGGTTTGAAGATGTTATTCAAGGAGTATAATGCAGTGAAATAAATTTGGAAAGAGAAAAAAGGGACATGAAGAATTCAGAAGATTAGAAGAGTGGATGCACCTGTACCACTGCAAACGATTTTGAGCCATGTCATTCAGGGTCTCTAACCATCAGTTGCTATCGACACCATAAGGTTCGCCCAAATGTCTTTCCTTTTCGTTTAGTTTACCTACTTGAGCACTAAAGTCATCAGTCACTATTACATCAGAGCGCTGTCAAGTTCTACACTGCACAACGGATACACGGGAAACTTGTCAAGTGAGCAACGGAAATACTTCTACTGAACACTTTGAGTTCGAATCAATTATAATTTAAACAAATAAATAAGTCACGAATGTGCATTAGTTCGAATTCTAACATCTGTGCAGCACGTGAGTAAATTAATAAGGTGTATTAGTACAGTAGTCGAAGAAATAATGGAGTCTGTAATGGTGAAAATAACTAAACATAGAAAATATAATTTGAAAAGTGAAGTGAGATTAAACGGTGAATACCCTTTCACTACGCGACTGATTTTTAGCCATGTCACCCAACGATGTATAATAAGTGATTATGATTTTATGATGCAAACGACATCTGGATAGTTTTTTATCCACCAACAGTCAATAATACCATGAACTAGTGCTTTGTCTTAGTTTGGCCATCCCCAAGCATTTTTACAACCTACTTCCACGCAAATCGCAATGGGGAATTTAGGCTGGTGGCAGTTGAACATGGTAATTTGGAAATGAAGTGGGTATTTACGAGTGATCATATCATCAGTAGACCACTTACAAACTTGGTCATTAGACCATTATTAATCAATACGTAAATATAAACCATATGTTTCCTAGACTCACTTAAAGCAAGCACAACACCAAAGTAAGTGTGTTCTTGGTTGACGAATACGCAAACCATTTATGCTTACTATGTCGAGACCTGCGTGGAAAAGAACATTTTGCATAGCAAAATCAGTTGTCAAGCAAGCTACAACGTTTGTTTCAACTTCATTGATTGGTTCCAGTATATCTCTAAAACAAAATACGTTTGTATCAAGAAACAAATCCAGAAAATTAAAATAAAGAGAATGAGTAATTATTTATTCTACTGTATCTTGTTTATCAAATACTACTTGGTATTTCCCGCTTACAGATGTACTGCTGTGTTAGACAATCAGTCATAAACAACGTACAGTTTATCACTTATATTTATTGGTTGCCACAACATAGCACAACCAGACAAATAGAAGTAGTAACAGTATCAGTGGTAATAAAGAGAATTACGCTTAGATATGATTCGAGAAGGACGGCTCTCCGTTATAAAAAGTATGTATCAGTTCTAGAGCTTAAAATGTAATTTTACTTGCATGCCCAAACTAAAGTAAACGGGAGAGTATAAAAACCTTCGATCTATTGGTTGAATTACTTTGCAGAATATTAGCGAAACTCGCACAAGGAAATATATAAATTAATGGGAATCTTCACAAGATCAGTGATAAATGCATGAAAAATTAGTGTTCGGGGAAATTCACTAAATGTGGCGACGCCATACATTTAATCTATCCTTGAGTCAACTGTCATATTAAAAGTTAGGCATAAATAGTGTTACGTACAATGCTGTTGAGACATTATTATATCTACATCATAAAAATATTAGACCCATATGTCAGCCATATAAAAATGTGACATTTGGCCAGTGCGTACCAGATTCAAATCTTATTCTGTTAGGCACAACCCTGAACCTTGCGCAACTGTATCGGAAGGAACAGCATGCAAAATTACATAGGTTAACTGAAATACATAAATTTAAGACCGTCCATGAATTGAGCAAATAAATCAATAAATACAGTAACCGATTAGTTAGAAACAACCAAACACCATCAAAAAGGTTAGCATACGCAATTTTTCCTCCAAGCCCAAAATTAGTCATGGCCTTCTCATCAAAGTTATTTTCTGTTATCCAATCATCATCATCCGGTTCAGATGTTTCTGTATCACTGTTTTCAGATCCAGATGTTTCTGCCCCATCACATACATCAACGGATGGATTGCTTTTTGTGTTCGATTTTGGCAATTGAGAACGAGCTAAAGACCCAAGGTTACTGGGCAAAGGTTTCTGACGGTATGGGTATATGTATAGTGATATAACAATGACTTACCACATCCTTAATTTTTGGTTCGCCGATATATCTTTTATGCAGTTCATAAGTTAAAGCGATCACGTTAATATCTGTTGCAGAAAGAACTGACAGATCCCCAGTTTGTTTTGCAATACCTTTAACTATGATAATAAATAAGGTACCAGATTTTCTTGATACTTACTTATGTTAATAGAATTAGTTTCTGGTACTTGACAATTCAGGGCATATGGTAAACAATTCATATATTCACGTGTTTGAACATCTTTTATTTCAGCTAAAACTTGTGGTATAGTGTAAATACTTGCACCGAAAGTCTAGAAACGCACATGATGAAAGATTTTACGAATTTCACTTACCTCAAGACGTGTACGTTTTACAAAAGGTGCTGTGTCAACAACAATATGTGACGTACGCTCATTGAGAACCATGAATAAAGAAGCTAGGGAGTGCATCCAGAGAAGGAAAGGAAGTAAACGTCGAGGAGTAAGAAATAAATAAGCAATACACCTTTATCGTGATATTAGTGCTTCATACTATATTATACTGTAATTTACCGTCTTAAACCCACCTTTTGGATTTCGAGCATTTTAAGGATCAGATGTTAATCAGTCAGTAACAACGTAGAACTTCGTACGTACGTTCGAGTTGCCACACCACATTAGCAGAGGTGCAGTTGTCGATTCAAATCTCATAGTGGTAGAGGTAGTAAGAGTATGAGCAGTAATCCGAAAGGAGTATAATCCAGTGAAATAAATTTGGAAAGAGAAAAAAAGGGACATGAATTCAGAAGATTAGAATTCGGCAGAACACAAAGAGTGGATGCACCTACGCCATTGCAAACGATTTTGAGCCATGTCATTCAGGGTCTCTAACCATCGGTTGCTATCATCTCGCGGACCCCAACCACGTAGTCTACACCTACCAACATGACTCAGTCCACTAGTTAGTGACTCCATGGACTTGTGTTATGTTTTGGTCTGGCTGCCCCTAGCTTTCTTCCAACCTACTCCTACACCATAGAACATCGCACTTCGGGGCAGTCGGTTGTTGGGCATACGTAACACGTGTCCCAGCCATCACAACTGACGAAGTTTCACTACTTCATCAATTGATTTGCCATTCTTATTCAGTACCCGTTACCTAACAACTCCATTACTTATCCGGTGGTCCCTGGATATACGAGCGATGTTTCGAAGACATCTATGATCGGATACTAGTAACCTACGAATATCCTCTACTCTCACTGGCCAAGTTTCACTGCCATAAAGTAGGACGGAACGAACTGCTGCACAGTAAACACGTCCTTTGGTTGATGGATGGATATCTCGCCTACGCCATAAATGACGCAAGTTGGCAAAAGCTAGTCGAGCCTTCTGCATCCGTGCTGAGATTTCGTCACACACCAGACCACAATGGCTGATGAGACTTCCAAGATAAGTGAAGCGGTCGACACACTCAACCACTTCACCCCCTATCATAAGTTCGAGTGTCGATGCAACCCAATCCTGAAGCAACATTTTGCATTTCGAGAGAGAGAATCGCATGCCGAACATACTTGCATTGTTGCATATAGTGGTCAGAAGACTGCATTTTGTCAGCATCTTCACCAAATAGAACTATATCATCGGCATATTCTAGGTCAACAAGTGGATCTCCCGGTAGAAGTTCAAGCTCTGGAAATTTAGATGAGGAAGGTGATATCTCTAAAAGCATGTCTACAATAAAGTTAAACAAGAATAAAGTGGACAACCCTGACGAACACCACATGAGGTGATCAATTCTGATGACAGTTCGCCATAACTTCTCACCCAACCAGCTGTGTTCGAGTAGAGAGCCTTTACAAGGTTAATGTACCTCTATGGTACTCCTTTCAGTGACAAACACGGTCATAGAACCTGACGATCAACAGAGTCAAATTCCACCTTAAGGTCGAGAAATACTACGATTGTGGGGCATCAGTTATTAATAATTTTTAATCAGCTGATGATAGCATACAAGATATCTATTACTAAACTTCATGTAAAATACATAGAGCTTTATTTTAATTCTGGTTGACTGACTGAGGGGCGTTGGTACACCGTAATTCTACCACTATATGTACAGGAATGATGGAAAAGATTTAGCTGACGAGTGCTTTTGGTAGTGTTGTGTTCTGCTAGGTGGAACATTACCGAATTATTAGACAAAAGGTGCACGATGAGCTATGATTAGTACGAGCAGCGATACTGCTATTTAGTTGGCATATGGACTCCAGATGTATGAACAACAACCAAGTGACCATGTGAGAACTCCACGAACACAAATTAACTTTTACCACTCAAGTTTACTTTTATTAATATGAACAGATATTTAGATCTAATAACCAACCTTAAGATTTGATGGAAAAAGTATGGCAGTAGAAGTTGCTTCGTTCAAAATACTAGTATAAAAACAATAAACTGGTAACTATTTGTCGGAAAGTTTTAACTGTTAATTTAAAACTAAGATTAAATCTTGATTGGTTTTTCTAATGACAGGCAGTTGTATTACAACCAAGGTTTTAGCATATATATTAAAATAAGCATGTATGTATACGTACATGCTTACCCAACTACGCAGTGGGACTCAATTATATAGAAAAACCCTACCGTAAATCTGTGTAATACATGCAAAATAAAATTATTCGAAACAAAGTCCTCGAGCAATCCATCGAAGTTGTATAGTATAGGACCCACTGACCTTCAAAACAACATATGATCCAACCACCCGTGTAGTGCGAAATTCGGAAGTGTGACTAGCATACTTTCAAGCTTCAAACACCAGAGGAAAATAATCTCTCTCTATGAACGATTTGTAACCTTTCAATATTAATTATAAACATAGTTAATTCGCAAGACAAACTACTAGCTTAGTGTGGAGGGTCAAGAATCTTGGTCAGATTATGTATCAATTTGCAACAAGACTCGTCACATGCTGTTACTAGACAGGTTATCACTCTTATATCATATTAACTCTCTTAACAAAGAACAATGTCTTCCTTTGAGGGATCTTCAAAATAGGAGAGTTTCATCAGAAAAGACTGGAACACCAGTGCTGGAAAGTTTTTACGTTGTAGGGCCAGCGAAATTTCACTGAGCCCTAGCCAAATCATCCGTCAGTTGGGTCATTGAATATTATAGGTCGACTTGGGCGCGTTCATCTCGGACCCGGCAAGCCAGTTGAATGTCCTTTGGCATAATAGTTACACGTTTGGCATGGATGTCACACAAATTTGTGTCTTCGAAAAAGCCAGGAAGGCAGGCTTCGCTTCCTTCTTGAAGGGCAGAAACTGCAAAGCTTCGGAAACGAAGGTCAGTCTTGAAGTCTTGCGCGATCTCCCGGAACAAAGCTGGGAGGGCAGTTCGCGTGTCAGTAGCTCGGTGGACTTCTGATAACGACGAATTTCACGTAGGGGATCTGTTCCAGGACGATAACGATGAGGTTTCTTAACGCCACCTATAGCTGGCGATCTCTTTCGTGCCGCTTTGGTAGCCAAGTGCTTTCTTGGAGCCCTCCCACCTGTACTCTTACAGGCAGTCTGCTTCGTACGTGCTACTGGTGAGCTGGATGCAATTTTGTACACTACATGATAACATATAAGTCTGTTACTTGCTCTAAGGCCAATGTAGTTACATTCTTTATATTCTGGTATAACTTTTAGTGTCATCAATTTTTTTTTCAAATTTATGTAACTCTAATTCCATTCAGGGTTGTGGAGACAGACTGACTCGGACTTGGCTATCCATCCATCCCTGTTTTCTGAATCACTGCTATATGAATATTTATCGTATAACTATTAGATACCTGTATTGTCATATTTCTATATGACCCTTTTGTAAGCTTCCATTAGACTCAACTGATACGCATTTGGCAACTTTAGTCATTACTCATTAGTTACATTCTACTTGGAGATTCTAAGATGAAGTGGTTTGGAACGAAGAATAACTGCTGCGGTTAGTCTGAACACGTGTGCTCCTGTACAGTCAACGTCATAGACAAGGCGGTTTTGTTAGTTATATTGTACATAATAATATAAATTAAAGTGCAAATTACTGCCTAAACAAAGATTTTCGCTCAGCTATTTAACCAATATTGTAGGCCAATCAGAAGTGACCCAAGGGACAAGTGCATCTCTTTGGCTAAGAAACGGATCAATATCTAATGAGTTAGTATGATATATACAAAAATAAGTATTTGTGCATATTATCTGGTAGCCCAATACACTTTTCCGCTCATTCAATCAATCCAACATCCGCCATGTCCAACACGTCGAGTAAAAGAATGTAGATGTAGTTTTGGAAAACAGTACTTCAATGAGCTAAAACAACGATGAAAAACAAATTAAGCCATCTTAACCAGTATCAAAACCTCAATTGAGTGAATGGCTGAAGGGATAAAAATAAGTAATTTGCGAAAATATAAAGACAGAGGGATTTCCATATACACTAATACAGCACTTCCAAAAAGCGTCTTACAGTGCTTTCTATGCCCTCCTCTGTTCATGGTTCGATTGTGATCGAAATGTGACGCCTTATTTGGTGTTCTGTATGATCAAGCAATCTAACCATATGGTTGCATGATCCCATATCTATAAGTGAATAGGGTACATCAGAGAACTAATCTGCCTCCTATCGGCGTCTGATTTCCTGTCGGGTAAGAAATGACCTCGAGGACCTATAGGGGTAAAGGGTTTGGTTGAATTTATCAGGTAGATTTCGTAAAGAGCAACTCCCTAAGCCTTTGACCTAATGGTCTAATCGAAAAGACAGCGGATTAACGTTAGATGAAGTACCATGCAAATGGTGGCTAACAATGGGTTCGTACGCCATTTGTTTCCTTGGGGTCTTTTAGCCCATATGCACCATGGTTTGAAATCAGGTTTCCCAACTGTCCTAGGTGGATGCTCCATATTCACCAACCAGGTTATAGTGCCGAACATTCGCTTTTCGTCCTCCCAATTTCACAAAAAAATTTCCGCCGTGAGAACGATTTCCCTGATATTGGCTGTATATCTTGACAAACGGCTGTTCACCTTTAACTTACCTCTGATTTGCCAATGGCATATTAGGCTGCATATGCATAATATCCCAAATGGATAAACCTATGTTCGAGCATTAATCAGCCTTAAAACAGATGCTGAGATGGTGATTTGTGGCTCAGGTGGATGGATTTGAAGTTTTGTTCTCTGATCTGGATGGTTTGGTCGTGGAGCTTACATCGTTCTTCTGAACGACATCATCAGTGAAAACTTCAGGTAGAAGTGAAGTGTTTGAATTTCTTCACATGTTGTCCACAGTTTGTCCTGTAGACCTCGATGTTGACTGGTTCATTTTGACCTGAAGCCTATCATTGTTTACTTTTTTGTTTCTGTTGTATCTCTCGTTGGTTTGATTTTTGTTCCTATGTTTGTCCATAATCAGATGGACTTCGGTATGCTCGTTGATTGACCTGAGTGCTGGGCTTCTGAAGATTTCCTGGTGTTTTTGGAGTTGCCTCTATTTAAAATTTCGACATTTTCTCTGTCGAATGTATGTCCTCATGCATTGATATAAGCGAGGATATGTCAAGGCGTTTGACCGCTAATTATTGTTCATGCAGGCGACGATGAAGTGTCCGCTTTGCCCGGTAGTATTTTTTGCAATCGGCACAATTTATTTGGTAGATGATGTTTGGTTTGTCTCCTTTTGTCATTTCATTCTTTGGTTTCCATAGGTCTGATTGTAGTGATTTCGTTGGTTTGTGTGCAACACCTATTCCGAAGGGTTTCAACAGTCTTGTTGTTTCTTATATGCCTTCTATGTACGGTAGGGTGATCCTTTTGTTGATTTCTGTACTTCACTTTGTTCCTGATGATGTGTGTGGCTGGTGATTTTCTGAAGTTGATTGGGTAACCGCTCTTTTGGAAGATGGTATTCAGGTATTTTTCATTTTTTTTCGTGCTGCAGTACTAGTTTGTAGAGATCAGTATATGTACCCTCGTGTGTCCATTAATTTTGTAGTAACTCGCTTAAGGGAAACTGCCTTTCTTATTACAATCTGTGATCGAGGTTAGTATATCCTTATGCCGAAGTTTGGCCAAAAAAGTTGTTTCATTGTTAGATCGACTGACAAGGTGTTCGAATCCAGAGTAATGTTGGCCGGCTACTAACCGAAGATTAAGAATAATCAAAATTGTACAGTTCTAACAGGCACGAAACAAAAATTCTACGCATTTCTGTCACCTTGGTTTAATTGTGCATTATCATTGGACTGAAGCATGTCTGCGCATGAATGATCTAGATTGTGTAAAACTGAGGACCAAATAATGAGGTTTGTTTCGTAAAATTGTTACCAGTGAAATTTAAAAATAGTTGAAAAAGAAGTGAACAAGTTTGATCTAAAAATGTAAGTTTACAGTTTAATTACAAACTTCTTTAAAACTTGATACTAAAGATTAGTAACGAAAGAATAAATAACTTTTCAGAAGTACATTTAAATTACTATTTATTCACAACAATATACAAGAATTTATGAAATAAATGTCAAACATTCTTTCAGTTAATATACATGTAATGTTGTTTTCAAGTAATGACAAGTGAATGAGTGGGGCCATCTGAAATATACTTCACTCATTTTGAACTGCTAGACAATTATTTACTAGTTTAAGCAGGGCGGGATTTTCCAAAGCAGCTGCCACACGTTCTTTATCAGCAAGTTGCTTATTAATTTCATCTTCAGAATCATGTGTGCCAGGTTTCACCTTGACTTCAATCTATAGAGGAAAAAAAGAGGGACAGAAAAATATGGAGGTAAGTGATACAAATATTTTAGGGAAAATATCAAAGTTTCGATAATATAATAAGAGGACGAAGATTATCAGAACTATGTGATATATTAGCGCAATACATTCCGAACAATCTGAGCCCACATATACTTGTTAAGAGCATTTATGTATAAAAATAAAAGGTGAAATAGAAGTTAGCAGTGGGAGTTAAATCACGTTCCGAGTATCTGATGCTGCCGCAAGGACTTTCCTCATCTTGTATCAGCATGGTTGAATTCAGTAGCTCTGAATCAATCCAAATTATGCTCGGAGATATCTAGTTTAGGCATTGTTGAACAGATGTCAGTCAGCACATCACTCAAGACTTCACACATTAGGGTGTGTGAACATGTACCAAAATCGTTTCAGAAACAAATACAATCAAGTGACCCAATAAGAGCAGAGGATAAACATCCATCATCCTCTATTGCTAAACATAAAATTGAAACAGGCCATAAGATTGATCTAAACTCGGCTTTTGTTATGTAGTATCTAAGTATAAAAGGGTGTACACTAAGGTTTATTGAAGCCTTCGCCATACGAAAATTCAAATCCCCTTAGTGTATTCAAAAACAGTTTGTTCTTACCTTAAACCTACCCTGGTAATATTGACTTATTATCCAGAGTGATTAGGTTTCGAATTGTGTTCACATTATTATTACTCTTATTACTATCCTTATCTCCTCTTACCCCATTTCCAGTCTAGTTGACCTTTTATCTTTATACATAAATGCTCTTAACACGTATATGCGTGATCAGATTGTTCGAACTGTATTGTGCTAATATATCACATAGTTCTGATAATTTCCATCTTCTTATCACATTATTGAAATTTATCAAAGGGACTAATTGCTTTAAATATCAAAGCTGGCAATCAGTAGTAATAAGTAACGTAGAATCTGGCAAATGTATGCGTATCTATTCATGATGTCACAGCTAAACATAAGGACATCGGGGCGAAATTTCAAAGATCAATGGTGGAGTAGTATAAGCAGTAATAATATCGACAAAAGAAGAAAAAGTCAGGCATAGGCACTATGAATTCGGGGAGAAAAAATTAATTTGTTGAATAAAATTTTAAGATTGAAATATTCAAAGAAAACGAAGAGCGAATGCAAGTGGATTGTTATGACTGATTTAGAGCCGTGTCATACAATATCTCCAACTATTAATTATGGAAATCATGAAGACCTCAACTAGGTCGTCTATGCATACCACTTCTGACTATTTCGAAAGTCAATGACTTCATGGACTAATTTCACGTTCTTGTTTGACATCCGTTAGTTTTTTTTCCAATCACCTGTCACACAGGCTAACATCACCCATTAAGCTACTCTGAGGTTTGGTATATGTGAAAAGTCCTGTCTATTTTAATCGGTGAAGATATACAAATCCATCAATCGATCCGCTATCCCTACCTAGTGCTTAGTTGAAAACAGTTAACATAAACGGTAAAACAAAACAATAAAATCACCGATATCAATGCAACATTTGCACTTTACAACTGTGAATCAAAATAAAAACATTTAGACCAACGTATTTTTGTAAAAATGAAAAGCAGTGGAAAAAAGGAAGTTTATTACGGTTGAAATGATAAATAAACGATAATGAAAAACAGTTTACCGATAGTAATGGATCCTAAATATTAAGTATTACTGCAATAAGACAAGATCAAGACACTGGTATAACATGATATAAAATGCTGTATACCATTTATTAATCCCAGCAACGAAGGAACCATTTTGATATCTTATGGACTACTTACTTATCATACAAGAACTAACAATAGAGTACAAAGATACGAAATTACAACAAAAAAAACGTTCAGAATTAGAATTGGTTTATAATAAGTAATTCTTTAGACAAAGGGGCACTATGTGTCAAATCACACAATCAAATGACTATACGAAAGAAAATATAATCACTGTTGACATTTAACAGAATAGTTCATAAAGATTTATAATCACCATTACTATTATTACATCACATTAAAAGAAAAAAGATGAAAAATAATAATTAAAACAGTAAGGAATGAAATGTAATTGAATCGGTGAAATAAATTTATCCTCAGCATTATAACTGAATTACACATATAAGCATTTTAATTCAAGGAATAACACAACGAAATATAAACTGAGATAAAATATGCAACACCATATGTATAAATGTTATAAGATAGTCCATCTTAGCTATATAAATCTTATCAATCAAAAGTGGTTGACATGGTTATTTATTTGGACACATAGATGTTGGTACAAAGGGGCACCGAATACATATGCGTCACACAAGTCACTTGGTTTGTGTGTGGGCTATGATATTGTAGTGAACAAGAACACGGGTGGGGACAATCGATTGTATTTAGCACAAACATTACAGACTATCTCAATAAAATGTGAATACCATAAAGTCAATCGTCAATTTGCAAAATATCATTCCATCATATCAAACTGTACTGTTCCCGTTGCAAACACTAATCCATTGTCTCCCATTCCATTGTACATGTGTTTTCTTACAATTCCATTGTGCTCTTGCTCTTCCTTTCTTGATCTTCGCCATCTTCTGCTGCCGGACCTTACGTTTATTTAACGCACGTTATATACTACTTATATGAATATAAGTAGCTCACACCACAATATTACCTGGGTGCCCAGACCGAAGCGGTTTTCTTAGGAAGCTATAACCCAGGTTGATATGATCTACAATCATACAGTTTTTAAAAGTAAACATGCGTTATATTTGAAATTCTCTGATATGTTCATTTGACAGTGGAATTAGGCTGTTAAACTTTCAATTATATAATTTCTGAACAAACCAATGAAATTTTTCAGGCAGAAAGTTTTGGTTTTTGGGCGAAATTTATTCAATCATATAGTCTAGTAGCATTTTGGCACTATAGCTGATGTCAGTTCGTAATGAAAACCTTAATTCTAATACATAACCCTAACTTCTAATACTAAATCCTAATGCAGATTTCTAACACTAATTTACCATTCTTTTTTTAACCTAAGTAGATAAGTGAATTTTATCAAGGTCACTTTAGGGTCATTTAAAAGTCGTCCATGCATTATAGTCTCAACGCCTCTGAAATAAAAATCGACGTTATAATTCTTTCTTATTACAACCCAGTTAATCCTATTGCTTAGTATACTTGGACACCAATTCACTCGACAAGTCCCCAAATCAGAACATGATTGAGCAGGAAAGAGATTATATTCCGAATAACAAGGCTAGATGGAAGTAAGAAACACAGTAGGAAAAATGTTAGTATATTTATAGTTTTTACATGAGAAGATTCTAAAGCGTTCTGAAGTATCGACTAGTGCTGATTGGATAAGAATTAGCCAATCAGCGTGCACCAACGCAATCGTGCATTGAGTATACCTTAATCTAATCTACGTCCCGCTAACACTTGATTTCTCCTTTACACTAACTAATTGGATGCTAATTTGCTTAGGATGAACACAAACTAAATATCTATCAGACTATCTCTATAAATGTCTGAAGAAAACAACTAACCGCGAATAATAAACATATATTTTGTGTTATATAACCCAATGATTAGAAAAGAATGCATTTCTGACGTTTCGTGACTTAATGTAGGTCACGTCTTCAGAGTAAATAATATATTTATTATTAAATTTCTACCAAATGCTAAATTTATTTGAAACTATCAAGTCCAACCTTGGTATTGATAACTAATCACTAACTTAATTCCACCCACGACGCAACAAGCCCAATGAGCAAATGAAAGAATGAGAGGGGCCGGAAAACGTATTTAATCATTTCTTCAATGATACAAACAAGTGGTTGAATTTTTTATAAACATTAAATTTTAAAGTTTTAAATCCAAGGTGTACAACTTGAATAATTAGAGATTTCTCCACTAAGATGTATATATTCACAAAACAAAGTGACAGTTAGTACAATTAATATGATGGTCTATAATCAAAATAAAGTGAATCAGCAATCAACACATGATCACATTAATACACAGTGATATAGCCATGAATGAAAACTATGAATTAGAAGCTGACTGGTTTCTTGAATTAGCAACCATTAAAATGAAGTATAATCTTACCTTACAAATAGTTCCATGTTATAATGACTAAAACAACTTGCTTTTACAATCACCACATATTGATAATACTTCATAGTTGGTGTATCGATAAGAGGACATTACACATTCTATTCAATGTCAGTTATGTTCAGTTGGTTTTAGTTACGTCACGAATTACTAATCAATATTTGAAATTAACGATAAGCATTAGGCTGTTACATGGTCTATGTAATTTTATTCAGTCTAACTAATGAATTGAAATCATTCAAATGTTTTCCTGGTGTAAATTTACGTTACCTAATATATATGTATTACTGCTACAGTTACAGGTCAGATGTTGCACCAGAATAAACAATTATCATGTTTTTTTTCTTTAATTAAGTTAGTGTTGTTTTGTAATCTACTCAATATAAATCTATTAATCTAATCAACCATAGGTCATATGATGAGAAAACACATTGTTCGGAAGTGTTAAGGTCATATAGTTGCATGCAAACAGCCTAACTATATACTTTAGATAAAACAATCACCTAATAAAAGCCAATTAAAAACTGGTGTTTGAAACAAAAATAGATCTTAATAGAAAAACTCACTTTAAATCGTCGAGGAAGTGAACGAATTAATTTCACTTTAATAGCCAATCCAATTAATGTAGCCATACTGCAACCAGGAATTGTTGGTGAATATTCAACACAAACCCAACTTTCGGCATCATTCACATTAATCCAATCATCAGTTAATACACTTAACACTTCAAGACTATGAGGATGTTCAGGATCTCGAATATCACGAATATGATCTTAATACATAATTTAAGATTAATAATATAAAATATACTACAACAAGTATTGAGATAGTATGGATTTATTTGATAATAAATAATAAAATTTTATTTATTTTCGTTTTTAGCAAACCATATTATGGAACTCATACGGAAGTTGATAAAATATCATTTAATAAAATAACGAAGTAGTATTATAAACCTAGTTATGATCACCTAACAGTTAATTTAACAATAGATGATCACTTGCGAGTGTAGAAATGAAAGATAAAACTATGCGCTTTAATTGATAAAGAAAATTGAAAAGTACTACATGATGTCAGCCGGGGTACTGATGAAAATCAAGGAGCACTGATCAACTGTCTCATTCCAGTAAGAAGTATTGACTAGTGGGGTTTTGACATGTTTGGCGGTTAGCGCCAATGGAACTGAATGCTTATCGTTTTATGTATCGAAATGCTTGAAGCTGAAATTGTAGTAGACTGAGAAAAACTAGACATAAGACGTATTTGTGCTCACATACTTTTTAAAAGTCAAGAGTTAGGTGAGAGATGATAAATAAGGTAGGTTATTAGACAAAGTTGATTATGCAGTTTGTGAAAGTCTTAGCTCATGTCTCTGAGGGTTATATATACCAATGATTGGTGCACATGATTATTCGGTCAGTCAGTCAGCTGCAACGTAGGACCAGGCACATATATGCATCGGTCCAAGTTACCACATCTCATTAACACAGCAAGATGAATACCAAATTTATAGAAGTAGTTACTTCAATGGTAGTAATATATAAAAGAGATCGTGTATAAGGATATAATACAGGAAGAAAGAATTAGTTCGTATAAATAAAGGTATAAAGCAATTTTAATCTAATGGTATAAGAGAAGACAAAGAGTAGATACACCTACGCCTCTGTGATCCATTCTGAGCCATGTCACCTATAGTCTCCAACTATTGGTTACGATAGTCACACGGACTCCAACCAAGTAGTCTGGATCTACCAACATGGCTCAGATCAGAAGTTAGTGAATTCAAGGACTGATGCTGCGCTTTGGTTTGGCCGCCCATAACTTTCTTCCAATCATCCCCCGCACTAGTGAGCATTGCACATCGTGGTAATCGGTGTTTATGCATATGTAACACACGGCCCAACCATCTTAGTTCATGAAGATTTAGACTCAGTGGCCGATTACAGCCTCCTGCTTATTATTATGATCCTCGCTTGCATGGACTCGAGTATAGTAAGCGTGTATATCTGTACGTGATCGGACGGCAGACGCAAAAATCTGTACCAAAACAGCGGTTCAAATGGGTAAGTGTGAGATATGAGGGTCCTGGATTCGATCGCTGATCATCAGTTACAGGTGCACACCACTGAGTTCCATACGAAAGTGGAACAGTTGCCCAGTGTCCTCTTGCTTTTAGTGGCACCTCACCTGAGATCGCTCTATGGTAAATACAAGAATTAATATTTCATCCATACTCAAGAATAAAAAAATTAGGGAAACGATAAGAATCAAAATGAAATAAAACTCACCAAATATTTCTGCTTTATCAATAAGTTGACGTTGACCATCCCATTCAAAGTTATTAATATTTAAGCCTAGTCTATTTAGCCGAGGCTTTACAGGTACATGTAACACTGGATTTAGATTTTCTAGCATAGAGAAGAGAATTTCTAAATGTTCACAAGAAAAATAAAGAAACTCGATCTTCAAATGAATAACAGTAATAATAGTTACAATTGAACTGTGATTAAAGAAAAAATACAGTGTGGAAGTTATTTCCACTACAAACTGACGAGTTGGAATTGCAAGAAAAGCCGAAAAGTATTGGACAACTGCCACATTATTATTCATGACTCCCTCTCTTTTATCGGCGTACACATACAAGGGATAGAACGGAAGATCCATTTGCCTCTATCTTTATTCCATGTGACACTCATCTCACATTACCAATGACTGACTTACGATTGATTTAGCTGTTGGGAAATAAGACAATCTGCTTCTTCACTGTACGGTTAATGTAGATACTATCAGGTATCCCTTGGTATCAACCGTAAATGAATTCTTTTGCCACACAACATATACACACAAACGGATGGATATACCACATGACTTAGGAGAGATGAAAATAGTACTATTTAAATGGTAAATTTCAAAAGTTTACAATATGGTGTATGGTTAAGATGAACATTGGAACAACAAAAATAGGCGAATAATGTTATTTTCAGTAAGATCATTATAAGGCATTGCTGTAATATAAATGAATATTTATATATGTATGTGAAAATATTAAATAAATCTAGGTAGCTTATGAGTCAGTGATCCCGATGAAATAGATTATGTAACCACACATAATAAGTAAAAAGTACAAATTGATAGCGAGAAAACCGGTGGACTACTTACTATCACTTTGTATTGTTTACCTAATATATATGGTTACGTAATTCGCGCTTCATAAGTCAGACGCTTTTGTGCTATACTTTTTAATGATGCTTTACGGTTAATCCTAGTGAAAGTGGTGAAGTAACGTTTGAATTTGCGATCTTCACAAAGATGAACAGATGAGTTAATCAACAGGCGAACTCATTATCCCAAAAGATTATGAAGGGTTTTACAAATTTGCTTATCATTATTTTTTACATACTGTGGTCATGATAAACTTATGAGTATCGTTTCCATTTCAGTGTATAGAAATCACCAAATAGAGGATTTTATAGTTAGCAAAAATTAAATCACGGAAATTCAGTAAAACAACAAAACAAATATGTTGGGCACTTCACTGCTTACATAACGGTTGAGATTACACAAAAACGCGTCTATTTCTGGTAAATGAAATACAGCATCTGAATTACAGGTCTGAACAAGTTAATGTCATGTCATTTCGGTCAAGGTGATTTATAAGTGTATGTAAATTTGTGTGTTCTTATGTGTGTAATGTTTAAAGATGAAAAATTGTGTGACATTTATAGTGAGAAAGGATCGAGTTTAATTTGTGAGATGATAGTGTGAATTGTAAATAAGATCAGAGTGAATGGCTAGGATAGATAGTCCAAGTAGGATGTATGATAAGGCCTTCTTTTCTATTGAGAGAAGTAGGATTAAATATTATAAGGAACGCTTCAGCTACTCTCCTTTATTTGTAATTGGAGAAGCGTTTTTGCAATATTTTGATATTTTTGAAATCACTTTGGTGGTCGTTGAAAATCGCATGAACTGCTAGTGCCGATTTTTAATTTGAAGTTTATCCAATTCTACGGGATTGTTAGGTTTCTTTGTGTACCTAATATGTTCTTTGGCTCTAGTCAAGATTTCTAGAGATGACTCTCCAATATAGAAGGCATCACAATCGATACAACCTAATTTGTAGGCGCAGTTCTGTGTGGACATGAAAGGGATTTTTTATTTTAAGCGAATTAAAGTATTTCGAAGTGTGTTCGTTGTTTTGTAATATACTTTAATTCTGTGTTGTTTTAAGATTCTTTGGAGTTCTTCTGTTGTGCCATGACGGTATGGTAGAACTGCAGTGCCAATCAATGGTATTTCATTCGAATTATTATTATAAAGCACTAAACCGTCTTGTTTTAACATACTTCTGATAATCTTCATAGGAAAATTATTAAATTGTAAGATACTAATTACATTCTTTTTGTTTGTCTTCTGATGTGGTGATCTTGTTAGCTCTTCTAGAAAGAGCGAGATCTTAGAACTGAAAGGATGTACTGAATAGAAGTCAATATAGCGATTAGACTGTGTAGGCTTACGGTAGATGGATAGATTTAGAATTCCATTTAGGTTTCTTTACACTAAGCAATCTAAGAATGGTAGCTCACCATTTTCATCCTCACTCGTGAATTTGATGTGAGATGAAAGTGTATTTATCCGTTCTGAAAAAGATCTTAGATGAGTCTTTTTTATCGCAACAAATGTATCATCTACATATCTAAGCCAAATTCGTGGTATAATGTCGTGGGCGAAGATATTTGATTCTATTTGTGCCATGAAAAGGTTGGCTACGATAGGGGACACGGGGGATCCCATTGCTACACCGTTAGTTTGTATAACATCCCGTTAAAAGTGAATAGAGTCGAATTGAAGCAGAGTTTTAAGGATCTCATGATTAGACTGATGCTCAAAGGACATCTGTCAGAAAGAGTATTGTCGTTCTCTAGTAAACCACTAATGAATTCTAAGCATTTATCAATGGGAATACTGGTGCATCAAAGCTTACCATGATCTCATTCTTCTCGATAATTAATTCCGATAATTTTGATTTAAAGTCATATGTATCTTAAATCATATTATGTAAGTTAAGCTGTAGTAGTTTTAATATTTTGCTTAGATATTTCGATAACTCATATGTAGGTGTGTTGGTAAAGTTTAATATCGGTCTTAGAGGGATATCTGGTTTATGAATTTTCGGTAAACCATAAAACCGTGAAACATTACATGATTTGGGATGCAGAGCAAACCAAAGCGAGACACAAATGACTGGTTTTAGCTCTTTCAAAAGTTGACTTGTTTCTGATTTGACTTTATTTTTAATCGTTAGAGAATTTTTTCGGATTGATCTTTTCATATGGTCCTGTTGAGAGATGTTCAATAGCTTTATGAATATAATCTGTTTTATTTATGACTACTATTATGTTGCCTTTTGTGATGAAAATCGTTTTGTCTTTTTGAAGCGAATACAGAGCCTTCAATTCTTCTTTTGAAATGTTTGATGTAATAAATGCGACTCTTTTTCCGGTAGTTGTGCGATTATTGGTTCTATAATTGGAACAATTTCAAGAGTACTAAGTGGTTTTCAATGTAAATTGAAATTTATTCCTTTCTCTAGTAGTGACTTCACGACTGGTTAAGCTTCTGTCCGAGAGATTATGAACCATTCTTCTTAGATCATTCGAATTAGATTTTAACGCTGATTTTTTCTCAACATAAATGTCACACAATTTTTCATCCTTAAACAGTACACACAAATTTACATACATATTATTTATGAAACACCTTGACAGAAATGACATGACATTAACTTGTTCAGACCTGTCTTTGACTGATCAAATATTATTCTTATTGTTCCGTTGTCGTATTTAGACTTGGATTAATTTTAATTCGGTTATTTATTCTCTGAAGAAGTGGCTTACACTCAGTCACGAAACGTCAGAAAATCTAATTTTTCTACTCATTGGAATATTACAAATTTATTATTTATTTATATACTTATATTCGTTCATTTCACTATACTAGACACTTGTTTTTCTTTAAAACTGAGAGAGAGGAGTAATAACCGCATAAAAATCACCTCTGATTATGTTAGTACAAAATGAAAATACTATGATTTGCATACATACTACTATTAATAAGCAAACAGTCCAGTGAGAATAGTAGAAAAAAACCAAACACAACAGCTTTGTCCAAGTGATCAACTTTATTAAACAATAAACGATACAGAGTAGACACTTAACAGAATGTAGCATGCATGCATGATGAAGCTAAGATCTGAGTTGAGTTGCATCATTTGGTTCTTGAACATTCGCTTCATGTATACGTCGTTCCAATGTATCCAATGTCTTGTTCATCTAAAAACAAAAACAACAGAAAACAGAAGGATGTAATTTTGGCAATTATCGAATCTGAAGTCAGTTATTTTGATTGCTATTAGAGTTATAAGAATGGATATCAGCTCCTGGTTCCCTATGGCGTGGGATGATATATTTTTCGAGGCACATGGGAAGAAAATTGGATAGGGGGTGATCTTAATGAGTTGAGAGTGTGATGGCAGGGCTCAAGGGAGGAATGCACGAGGTGAGTCAAATACGGCTCTTTTGAAAGTGATTTTAGATGTTATCATCTTATTTTTAATACATGTCCATCAAAGACGGAAATATATGATGTGTACGATATTTAGATTCGAAAATTTTTGACCTCGTCCTTTCGTTATGAGAAGGCAGCACTACTCCAGATGCTGGTTATCCGAATGAAACATTCTGCTACTGCACAGTCAGAAGCAAAACTTTGACCTCAGGCAATGAGTTTGAAGCTTTTAGGATGTTTTTTATCGAACTTGGATGATATGGTAGGAATTAACACTAAACCAGAGCCACGAACAAGCTAGGACTGAAAAGTGGTCATAATGACTAAAATTTTGATTCCTAAACTACTTTTAGGCATAAAAACAATGAAAGTGGGATGGTTTAAAACTTGCTAACAGGAAACAGGCCGATTACAAAAAAGACAAAAATATCTAAAATAATCTCACCTGTTGTAATTGTTCAATATGAAGAATGAAATATTCTGAAAATCTTCTATCAACAGTTGTATCAGCTACATAAATTGTATCATTATCAACATAAAAATCCAAATGTGGATGCATTTGCTGAGAACTGTTCAAATCAGAATTGATCGATGTACCAAAACCGTTACCATCTTTTGCAGCGTCAATAGCTTGACTCATAGTTTGTTTTAACCGATACTTGTAAGCCATTAATTCCATATGTAAAGATGGTTCAGACTATTGTTTGAATAGAAACGTTGAGCAGTAAAAAAATAATAACAATGATACGAATGAAGCATAAATGTAGAAAACACAATGAAATGAACTGTGTACAAAAAGATATGAAGTAGTAAGTCAGTTTATGACATTAGTCCCGTGGTATCCAGGAAATTTGAATATGATTGGCATTTGTTAGTTGATCATGGCTTCCTGGGGCGATCAAACTAAGACATGCTAATCTATGAAGTCAGTGACTGTTGAACTGACTAGTGTAGGTAGGTTCAGACTTTCTGGTTAAAGTCCGAATGATTATCATAACTAATAGTTATAGACTTTTAGGTACACAACTCAAAACAGTTTGCAATAGCTCTAGTGCACTTATTCAGTGTCTTTCCTTATATTATAAGGTTTTAAGTCATCTCAACCACTGAACAAATTCATATTTTCTTCTCAAATCATAGCTTTTGTGCCTAATCTCTTATACTATTAATCATAGTTACCCCTTATGCTACTGCCTTATTTCTCTGCTGATATGTGACAACTTGAAATAACGCACATATGATTGACTAACTCCCTGGTTGAGGTTCTACAGATGATGTATCTAAGAGGCTTGAGATGTTATCAAACATAACTTAAGGCAGAAACCAGTACTGATCTTGACGTAGTTTTCTGTCACATTCTTCATAAAAGTGAGAAGGATCCTCTTAAACGAGTTTTTTTGGTTATATTTCTCACAAAAATATATCTTAAATTATATGTTATATTTTTATTTACTTATTCCTGATAGTAGATTGTACTTTTCGTCTCATTATCCTCTATATATTCACAATATTGCGGCTTAATTTGTGTGGCGTATACCTTTTTTGGTTCACAACTGTACCAGAATGTTTGTGTAAAACACAACAAAGCACTTAGATACACAAATAAAAAGAAGAATAAGCATAAATTGTGATCATAATAGTTTGAAATAAATAGATTGGTCAAAAACATTTCGTCTTGAATATCAAAAAATGTAATAATTCATACTACTAATAAATAATAATACCACGTAAATAACCATTTGAATATACTTGATTTTAGTGACTATTTAAAGTGAAAGGTACTAGGGGTTCGAGTTCCAATGTGAACATCAACACTGACATGCATGTACATTTAGCTGACAAATAGTTCAAAATAGGATGAAATGTATGTTCTGAATTTTATTATTAGCTATGATTAACCAATTCTATAGAATTTTGTAGACAATATTAAATGTGACGTAATTACAGTATGATCAATTTTAAGTGGTAATTATTAACTAGAATTTGACAACAATTCAGTTCAATGGATTGTTCGATTTCGGTAAATGTCTCTTAACAAAATCGTTTAAAATTATTTACCAAGTACAAATTCATGTTACCTAGCTTTGAACTAATGATACTACCAGGTTGTAAAAACCAACATAGAGATTCAAACTTGCAGCCATGTAGCTGAATGTTGAATACAACAACTATGCCTTTGAGACATATAACGAAAATAGCAAACTCAATGTAAAAAAGACCATTCCTATAATAGGGGTAGTATGAACTGAAAATGAGTCATTAAGGCGTTTCTTGTTCATCAGAGCTATTATTTATTGGTAAAAGTAGAAAAGCAAACAAAAATTCAAGAATCTATAGCAGTAACAAAAAAGATTTCGACAGAATCTATGTTCAAGACTATAGTAATTATCAAAACATTAAAAAAAAGACTTTTAAATGTTGTGCAATTTGTTGATACTCTACTTTAGTTTCTTTCGATATATTGATCATTACATAACAGGTAGAAAGTAACATGCATAACTGATAATTGTCTAATTTTTGACCTATTTTGACTAAAGACTTGCTGAGACTCTGTTTACGACAGTATAGGGGTCTAATGAGAAGTATCATCTGTAAGCACACGGAATCCTACAACTGACAGCGGATAAGTTTCACAATCTGAAAATTATACATAAAAGACTCACTAAACTCATGAAATTAGCCAATTTCGATGCAGAAATATTTGTATAAAGCTTAAGATATGAACGAAGACGTAATAGTTCAATTTGTTGAATAATTTCTGTTTTGAATAAATCAGTTTGTTGACGTTGTGGTTCCAAAGGAGAGATTGAATCACTTATTGGTAAAGCTTTGGCGTAATACGGAGTTTCTGGTGAGATAAATTTTGGGCAGCCAAGATCAAATGAACTAGCGAATTCGGCTTCATCTCTACAAAATAACAACAGTAATTAATACGAAAGCTAGGCAGTGGAAGCCAGGATGCGCGTTATATACTGTTTAGAACATTTCAGTTGTATGTAACTGCATTCAAGTGTTGATGCCTAAACCGAGACTTGAACCAAGAACTATTCGCTTCAAACAGCAACACGTTACCCACTAAACTAGTGAGTCCAGAAGGCTATGAACAGTAGTAATTAAAAATACCATTAGAATGTAGCGATATTATAATGGAATTATTTATAAGGAACGATATGATATCATGACTTCGGAAATATACAGTGTGCTATTTGGTTATACTTTGGAATTGACATAAATCAGAATGGGGATTTGTGGAGATTGCAATAATTGTAATGGTTGAATTGGTGAGTCGATCTAAACTAGACCACCATTGAAAACCTGGAAGTACTGGACGACCGTCCTGTCCTAGTATGGCACTTCTTAGTAGTGCACATCCACGATCCTGCACGTGGGGCTCAAACCCAGGACCGTCGGTCTTGCGCGCGAACGCTTGATCTCCAGACCACTGAGCCGGCATCCAACGGTGTTAATGTCTAACTTCAATCGATCCATAATCCTGCACGATCCTTCATCCATAGTCTGAAGTGGATAACTGTTTCCACCCGACACGGATTGAACTCCAGTAAATTAGAGACAACAAAATAGTGAACTGCAACGATTGAAACATTTGCTGTTAGTACCAAACAGTAGAATAACAGATGGGAATTTCAACGCAATTTAAAACTTAATAATTAGGTGAATCTAAATTTTAGCGTAAAATCTACAAACTAAGAATTAAACCTAACATACATAGCTTTAACAACAGGAAAGTACTAATCTTCACAAATAACATTTTGCTCTGCACAATTTAGTTGTAACACAAAAATTTTTCTTGATTTTTGAACACACTACTTCTATATCCCGTACAATGAAGCGGTAGCTTAGTAATTAAGGCGTTCGACCTCTAGCCTCGAACCCCGCTTTACCTAATTTGGTTTGGGCAACCAGATAGTATTATTAGACTTATTCTCAAGTACCTAGTGAATGAGTTAATATATATCTTACAGCCACGAGATAAACGAAGGCAACGATAGACTACGTACTAAAATATTAATTGGAGATAACTATGTAGTTGAAGATGGTATTGTCGGCGATGTTATCTACTGCATTTCAAATCCAGTCATCCAAAATTGACATAAAACCCACAACATATGTAAATCAGTTCGAGTTGATATTACATATTACATATTACATATTATTATTATTATTATTATTATTATTATTATTATTATTATTATTATTATTACTATCACATTAGTATGAGATTATTAAGATGAATATCAAAGTAGTTGGTAAAACAACTGTGATGCTATTGATGGCAAAGAAGATTAAGCATGGGAATATGATTCGAGAAAGATTACATTAAGAATAAGAGGTATTTGGATATTTTAAGATTTATGATCTAAGGGAAGACAAAGAGGGAATGAATCTGCACTATTGTAACCGATTCTGAAACTTGTCATTCAACATCTCCAATCAATTGATTACGATAACCACATAGACCTCAACCAGATACTCTGAATCTACTAACATGACTCAGTTTATTTTTTGGGTATTTGTAACGCTAAACTGGGGGAGTTCAACCTTAAAATAATGTCTACTGTGAATAAGACGGGATAGTTACTAAATACATTGCATTACTG